AGGTTTGCTCCTGGTGGCTCCAGATATACTAATTTATCATTCTGGGCTGCCGGTGAATCCAGTTGGTGTATAGTCATTGATGTAGTCCAGTGCTGCTTCCAGAGACAGATCTATTTATGAGCCATGATGCCTCCTTCCCTACATAGACATTAATGCTGGGTGATAAGACATATGATATTCACCTTCAGTTTTGCAAGGTATTGATAATAGTGTATGAATAACACATCCCTTAATATCTTTGTAAAATTGTGAGGATCAAAATGACCAGTCGAATGGACATGAAATGGCATGTCAGTGCTGTTTTGTTTTGCATTTCACAAGTTACTGGATTTACAAGTACATTTTAAGACTGAATTTGTTTTGAATATTAATTAGCCATTCTGGTTCTTCAACTGTGAACTGATTGTTTATAATCTGTCCAGTTTTCTGGTGGGATTTCATCTCTTAGAGATTTGCAGGAGTTAAAAAAATTAATTATGGCTACTAAACCTATTGTGTTAAGTGCATAATGAACATCTTCTTCCAGTCTATGACTTTTCTTGGTGACTTTATTTATCATGTCTTTTGATGAGAAGTTTTAAATTATGATCTAGTCAGGAACCGGTATACTAAGTGTAAAATTTAAACCTTTTAGAAGTTTTCTATATGTGTATAACATATATAATATGTGCATGTGTGTAATACTTTTATTAGACTAGCAAATCAGCACCATTTGATCCAACTAATATTTCCCAACTAATTTATAAAGCTATTTTCAGGCTATACCAAATTCTTACACTTAAGTAAATTTATTCCTAAGCTTTGTATTCTACTTCACTGGTCTATGTGTGTATTGCTGGACTGATACATTGTCTTAAATACTCTGGCTTTGTGTTAAGCCTTGACACCTTGTTACATAAGTTTAATTATTTTGTTCTTTTTCAGAGTTATCTATATTCTCAGTGGCATTTTATGGAGTCCTATAACTGTTGGGATTCCTTGCCAAGTTCCATTAAATACATTGTTTGTGTTTGGATTGGCAAAGAGTTCAATTTACTAGATGGAATAATTGCCATCATGATATTGAACAATATCATGCATAAAAAAGTAATTATTTTATGTCCAACAAAATTTCATAATTTTTCTGTGTAAACGTCTTGCATATCTTCATTTGTATATATTCTCACAGGAAACTTAGAAATATCGTTATAATGATATGAATAAAAAATTTTCACTTTAACTACATGTTCTAATTTCTTGTTGCTGGTATGAGTATGCCATTTTGGTTTGGTTTTCTTCCAGTACCGGGAATCGAACTCACGACCTCGCGCTTGCCAGGCAGGCGCTGTGCCGCTGAGCTAAATCCCCAGCCCCCAAGTATGCCATTTTGTATAATGATCTTGTATCCAACAACCTGTTGAACTACCTTGTCACAATTTATAGATTCTCTGTCTGTCAATCTGTCTCTCTGTCTCTCTCTCTTTGTCTTTTTGAGACAGGTTTCACTATGCAGTTCAGGCTGACCTTTATAGATTCTCTTGGACATTAAAAATTTAGGAAATCTTTTCAGCTGTGGAAGAGGAAAATGTTTCTTTCTCCATTCCAATTATTATACTTCTTTTTCTTCTTTTAAATTGTATTTTCTAGGATCTGCAATATATCTTTCAACAGCCTGATGAAAGTCTTCTGTCACTGGTTGGGAGTATTTCTGCAGAAATTTTTTTTGAGCTGAATTTTTTGCTTCTCATTTGCTGTGTTCTTCACATAGTAATACTACCCTTTTCTGCTTATTAAATATCTTTGTTTTTCCTCCACCAGGTAGATAATCATAGGTTAAGTCTACCTCAGGGAAATGAGAAGTTTGAGGAGTTTGTTCAACATTTCAGTTCAAGAGTGCCCTCTACTGTTGGAATACTGAAGTTTTATTAACGCTGCCTGTTGCAGGGGGTGAGGGGGTGAGGGGGTGGTAAGTGGAAGGAAGGTCTACAGATCATGTGATATCTTACAGTTTTATGATCCTTTATTTCTGGTTTGGCTTCTTACTTTTCTTTATCTTCCTAGTTGCCCTCCTCTTTCCCAAAAGCACTGCCTTCCCAAAACTGCTATTCTTCACCTTCAGACTTGGAAAACCAAGGCTCAGATGCTCTAACCTCAAGCCTGTTCTCAGTACCACCCCCTTCAGGGGGAGGATACTGTCCTTCTGGAGGTGATGTCGTCTGTGTCCTGTCCCCTGTAGGGACCTGCTCCTTTTTCCTCTCTTCCACAACATCTTCGCCTCATTCAGTTCCAGCGTGGCCATTGATCTGGCTCTATTGACTGGACTATTCTACTTACCTACCTGTAAATTGAAGATTGTGATGTCAAAAGACAAAATCATAACATGTTAAAAGATTCAGATTGGCTTGTATTTGTACTTTAGAATTAAGCAACATCTCATCTTATAAAATTCAATGAGTGTTCTGATGAGCTGAGCAGGAAAGTTTGTTTTCATAGATGGAGAAGGCCAAAGGAAGCAGAAATGAACAAAAAACTGTTGTTTCAAGATAGTTTTCTTTTCCTTGTAAAGGTCAAAGTAGAGGGGATGAAACCTGGCTTGTTTGGGGATTTTGGCTCTCTCTGTCTCCCTCTCTCTCCTGATTTCTTGGGCGATAAATTAATTTTGCTTGGTGACATGGAATTAAGCACAAGTGAATCCTATTTACCAATAGATTTTCTATTCTACATTGTGCTTTGTGTGTGGTGTTTTATTGTTGACCTATGTGGTTTTCGAAAACAGACCTATGTAGAGATTTGCATTCAAGGGACCAAAGGGGTAAGGAGTGTGTTACACTCTTCCTTTATGACTGTAGATTTGTCATTTTGCCATTGTGATTCTGTCTCTTTCTGCCTCATATATATTGTTAGGTTATTGACGGGATTGTTACAGTCTTCTTGGTGACTTGTTCCTTTAATGACTGAGTGATAATCTCTATAATAGTTTTTGACTAAGTCCTTACATATGTTATTAACATAACTTTTTCTTGGTTAATATCTGCTGTATGTGTATTATTTATATACTTTTACTTTTTAACTTTGAAAGTATGTTTATTTTTAGATATTAAAGCACATAGCTGGGCATTTAAAAATATACCTCAATGTTCATTTTTTGTCTGAGAAAATATTTTCACTGATAAATGTAATCTCTGTATTTTCATTGTGATTACTAAAGCATTTAATTTTATTTTATGATTTAATTTTATGATTTTAATTTATCTTATGGTCAGAAATCATTTTCCCTATTCTTTTTAACTTCTTTTCCTTCTTATTAGCTTGGTATCTCTCAGTTTCTCTCATCCCCTTAGTTGCTGGTTTTAAAGTTATGCTTCCAATTTCTGTTCTTTTGGTCATCTGTACTCAAAATCTAGTGTGCATCACAATCACCTGGGTAGATTGTTAAACTATGTATTTTGTGGCCCATCCATAGATTCTCTAACTGAGTAGGTTTAGGGCGGGACACAAGTACAGTTGGCCCTACATAGCCAAAGGTTTCACATACACAGGTTCAGTCAATCACAGTTGAAAATATTTTTTGAAATATTGAAAACATTATGTCTATACTGAACACGTACAGATTTTTTCTTGTCATTGTTCCATAAACAATACACTATAAGAGTAATTTACTTAGTATTTACATTACATAAGGTTTTATAAAGAATCTAGGCATGATTTGCAGTGTGTGGGAGGTTGTGCGCAGGTTATATTCAAATACTACAGCATTTTACACACAGGATTTGAGCATCCGCAGATCTTTGTATCTTTGGGACATCTGAAGCCAGTTCTTTAACACACAGAGATTATTGCAGTTTCATTTTTATTAAGTTCCCAGGTTCTGCTGTGATTTTGGGAACCATGCCTTGAGACCTAGCAGAAATTGGTATTTAGTACCAGTTTAAATACTAGCCATCTGGGCCTGGTGTGATAGCACGTGCCTGTAATCCCAGTACCCAGGAGGCTGAGATAGGAGGATCACAGTGAGTTTGAGGCCAGGCTGGGCTACAAAGGGAGTTCAAGGTCAATCTGAACTACATAGCGAAATCCTGTCTCAAAAAGACAAACAAATACATACACACATACATACATACATACTAGCCATATGTACGTAGCTCATCTACTTTGTTATTATTTGGGGATTCTTGTTGAATTTTCTAAAAAACTAGGTGGTTTCTTTGACCACCTATTCTTATAACATTGCCAGGAATAGAAGTAGTGTTTTCATTTCTCACTTGAGAATAGTTTTTGTTGTACACTAAGTTCCAAATGAAGAGAAATTTTCACGCAAGTTCCTCTGTGCTGGTAGTTGGGCTTTCTCTGGTCTCAAAAGTAGTCTTTACAGGTTCTTCATTGTAAATTGGACTTTAGCTCTTCGCCTCGCATGAACTTAAGCAACTTCTCTTGCCCTTGACACGCAGTTACAATTCCACTTCTAGGCTTGAGGCATCAGTTTTTATGTTTTCCACTGCAGTGAGCATCCTTTTCATTTTTAAACCCTCAGCATTTCCCTTTTGAGCTTGGCTAGGCTTGTACACTTGTATAGGGTTTAATGTAGCATTTCTGTGGGTTTAATAGGGTGATGGCTGCGGACACTCCATGATCTCAGCCTACCTAATTGTCTTGTATTATCTCTTCTGCTGTCACCCAGCAGAAAACATGACATACGAAGTCAAAAAGGATTTGAGACAAGGGAGGGTTGTAGAGAGAACTAGTGGAATGCAGAGCACCTGAGCTAGGGGCTTGGACCTTGGTGGCCACAGGTACGATTAGTGCAGAGCAGTAGTAGGTAGTGCTTAAGTGGACATAATTGAAGGAGGGGTGGCACGTGGTAGTAGTAAAACTATAAACAAGGCCTGGGACAGTTGTCACCTTTAAACATTCTACTAGGACCAGTCCTTCCAGAAATGTTATTTCCTATAAAATATATACGACTAAAAATTTAAAATATCTCTTTGGAGTCATTTTTTCTCAAATACTGACCTCTCTTTTAGGTACGATTTAACAACATACTCGGAAGATTATGTTCCGCCCTATGATTATCAGCCACAGGTGAGTACAAGAACCATATTTTAATATTTATTTATGTACTTAAAATGACGTGTTAGATCTGGGTTCAATAGTCAGTCTTGGGAGGAAAGGAGAAATTGCTAAGATTTATGATGTTATATATTTATTTAGACATATTCACTGTTTGTGAAAATCAGTAGAATATTTTATGGTTATGATTTAATTTTGGAAATTTACAGATTTGGGGAAAATACTGCAGTGTCCAAAACACTAGTCACTTTATTCCTTATTTTGTTTATTACCCTTTACCTAAAACCTAATTTATCTGGAATAAGAAACCATCTGTCTATTCATTTGTATCATGTGGACAAATATAGGTATGTGGCCTAATTTTCCTATAGGGAATGTGGATGTTGATTTTTAAAAGTACAGTTATAATAGGAATATATTTGTACTTTATACAAGACAATGTGTATGTTGCCTAGAATGTGTGAAGCCATGGATTTGATACGCAGCACTACCAAAGCAACCAGCACCAACAAAAGAATTACGCAACAGAAACAACATAAACCTACTTCCCACTGTCCTTGCTTTAGAAGTCTTACCAGTGGTAGGGGCTGGGGATTTAGCTCAGCGGCAAAAGCGCCTGCCTGGCAAGCGCAAGGTCGTGAGTTCGGTTCCTGGTACCGGAGAAAAACAAAACAAAACAAAACAACAACAAAAAAAAATAGAAGTCTTACCAGTGGAATAGACATGGCATAGAAAGAAGAAATCTAAGTATTAAAGGAGAGAGAAAAAAATCATCTTCAGATATGTGACTACTTACTTAGGAGAATCAAGATATTAAACTGAGAAGTACTTAAAATGAATAAAAGAATAGCTTTCCTTCATATCCGCACTAAGCAGTTACAACATTATAAAAGAAAAACCCATACAAATCATTATGGCAACACCAACTTAAAATATTTTTATGAGGAAAATTTTACTAAAATTCAGTAAAACAAAAAAAGATGCGATAGCTTATCTCCCCAGGTGACAGACTTTCCTGTCTGCATAGGTTACTTGCTCAGTGAGAAGCGACTGTTCCTGAACCTGGCTGTCAGGTCACTGATATGATCAGTAGAGTGTGGCAGGAGTGACTCTCTGCCAGATGTAAGCCTCACCTTAATTAAGAGGACTGCTTCCGCCTCTCAAACTCCTGAAAAATCACGTGAAAAACCCCGGCTGAGGTGCTTGATGTATGAGCAAGGAAGCCATCTTTGACTTCCAACTTGAGTAAGCCTAGCCTGCAACTGCAGTTGCCATGTGACTGCCCTCCATGAGCACAGAAGAGACTGAAGCCTTAAGTTTGTTTGTTTAAAAGAAAAAGTAAAAAGTAATTGAGGCAGAAATCTTGAATAAAAGAGAATAGTTACCACTTTATGAAAATGGAAAGCTAACTATAAAGTTGAAAGTGTAATATAATTATAACCAAAACCTCCAAGGTTTTGCTTTCTATCAGAATTGAAGATTCTGAGAATTACTTGAAGGAGTGCATAGATTAGAATAACAATTTTAAGGGCTGGGGATTTAGCTCAGCGGCAAAGCGCCTGCCTAGCAAGCGCAAGGTCGTGAGTTCGGTTCCCGGTACCGGAGAAAAACCAAAAAAAAAAAAAAAGAATAACAATTTTAGAAAGGTGGCAATAAAGGATTTATGACATCACCTTTCTTATATGTTACATAATAACATTTAAGCTGTGAAACAAACATGACAACTTATGGATTGATATACTTCATACATACAAAATTCATGCCTACCTGCAGGAAGAATATTAAACACCCTAGATAAATGAACCAAGAGCACACATGGGCAGTTTACAAGGTAGGAAATGTAACTGACTAATAAACATAAACAAAAGGTCTATTTACAAACAATAAAAGATGTGCATTAAAATAATAAGGTTATTTTCTTGTTAACATTGGAAATATTTTTAGAAATTCATAATATTCAGTGGGATGAAGATGGAGATGGATGCTTTTATCTGTTGGTGGGCCAATTGCATATTGGCTTTTTTTGTTTGTTTTTTTCCAGTACCAGGAATTGAACTCACAACCTTGCACTTGCCAGGCAGGCACTGTGCTGCTGAGCTAAATCCCCAGCCCCATGCATATTGTTTTAATCTTCCTGGAAAGGAATTTGGTGATATGTATTAAGATGCGATTTGACCAAATAGTTCTTCTTCTAGGAAATGTTTCCAATGAAAAATAATTCAAACTAGAGATAAAATCTGTGTCCAAATATGCTAATTACTGAATTATTTATGATGGTAAAATTTGGGAAGTGCCTAAATGTTTAGTATTAGGAATAATGTTAATTGAATATGTGATAAACATATCATAAGACACTATGCAGCCTTTAAAATGTTCATAGATAGTTGCTAGTGTCATAATAAATCTTAATTGAAGGTTAAAAGAACTTAAAGATACAAAATTATGTATCTAAACTATGTGAAAACATACAGAAAGTTTTGCAACTGGAAAAACTATAATAATGCTAGTTTGTATGGTGAAGCTCTGCATCATTTCCAGTGTTGTTTTTTTGTTTTGTTTTGTTTTTTTTGCTTGTTGCTGTCTTTGATTGTTTGATCAACCTTACGTTATTTTGTCTGGTGGACTGAGCAACATGGTTGAAGATAACAGTATGTAATGTAGTAACCATTGTAAGTTCCTGATATTTTAAAGGTCATGTATCACTTTTGTTGTTCATGTGTTGTTTTGATTTTGTCTTCATTGTTGTTTTGTCAGCTTTTTAATTTTTAAAATAAAAATAGCTAGTTAAATTAGCCATTGAATGTTGAGATTCTAGGTAATTTTCTTCATTTACACTTTTTAAAGTTTTCCAGTGCAACAATCATTGTTATTTATTATTTAAAATAATATTTAATAATATTTACTATTTAAAATAATATTTAATAATATTTATTATTTAAGAATGCATTTTATATTTACATAGAACTTGTACATAGTACATTTAATAGAACCTAATAAAAACTCACAAAATTTAAAGGACTAAATGTGATAAATGTAAAGAATATAAAATATTAAGATACAATATGTCTGTGTACCAATTTTGCAAGATGAATGTAATTATTATGTATTATAAACATATACTAATAAAAAATATATAGCTAATATGTTATACTGTATGTTCAAAAAATGGTTAAGATGATAAAATTTATGTTTTCCACAAAAACAGAGGGAAAAAAGACAAAAAATAAAGAATGTGATACATATTCTTAAGGCATGTAAATCTTTAGCTATTATGTTATATATACATGATCTTAATATTTTCAAAATTGTTTCTAATATTTCTGTCACTGCTGTTTTCCATTTTAGCTGCAAAGCATGCCACAACATTTGTCTGAATTTATTACAGCCTCAATGCAAATTATGCATGTGCATGCTGACTTTGGATGTATACATATAGGGATGGTTTTGTACATCGATAGGCAAACAGTTGTGGCTTTGAACCTTGTCCTTCTGCTAGTCCTAGGGGACCACATATCCTAGGCTTCGGCTTCAACCTTGGGATCTGCTGATGGTGTTTATGCATCTTTGCAGGGCTTCAGCGGACTTTCCTAGTTGATTGGAATACAATAAGATTTTCCTTTTACTGGGTGAAATATCCAGTTGTTAAATGGGTAGAAGGAAGAAAAGGAGGGACAGGGATAGGAAAGGGAGGAAGGACTGGAAGGAAAAAAGGAAAGAAGAGAGAAGGAAGACAGAAGAAATAAAGGGAGAGAGAACACAATGAAATAACATTTATTGTTCACTATGTCCTGGGCACTGGCCTAGTTGTCTTACATGTGTTAGCTATTTAACCGTCACAATTATCCTGAGAAATCATACTTTTTAGAGTATTGGGAATGTGTATCTCAGAGAGGTTAAATATCAGTGACAACATAGCAGATAAGAGTCCATCATGATCCTAGGTCTGAATCCAGACGTCATACCTTCAGCTACTTTGTACAAACATCAGTTTCCCTGCAGGCCTTGGTCTCCTTACCTGAAGCTCGGTGGGTTGGACAGCATGGTGGTTAATTTTATGTGTCAACCTTGCTAGATTATGATGCCTAATTATTTAGTCAAATACTGGTCTAGATGTTGCCACGAAGGTTTTTTGTATGTGTGACTAACATTCACAATCACTTAACTGTAAGTAAAGGAGATTATCCTTAATAACGTGGCTGAACTTCTAGTCAGTTGACAGATTGAAAAACAAAGAACAGGTTTTCTGGAGAAGAAATTGTGTCTTAAAACTGTGGCATAGAAATCCTGCCTATTTCCAACCTGTCAGTATGCCCCATGGATTTAAGACCTGGCAGCCCCACAATCGTATAACCATGTGAACCAGTTCCTTAAAATCCCTCTCTCTCCTCTCTTGCTTCCTCCTCCTGCCCCTCTTTCCTCTGCTTCCTGTTCATTCTGTTTCTCTGAAGCATCCTGATATACAAAGAATGATCTTTACTGTAAAGTGCTCTAATTCTTCTATTTAATTTGATTTGACTCTGTCATTGATCTTGTTCACTTGCAAAACATTTATTTTATGACCATGTAATCTTTTTGATTAAAGACCTTGGCAGACATTTAATTCAAGTCTGCCTGAAAATTAGGAAATAAATATTTTAGCTCCCTGATCACCTCATGTTTCACCAACAGTGCAGAAATTGTGTAGTCTCAATTGCCAGGAAAATCAGATTGTCGGGTATTTTTAGTGTGCACCCTTTCTGTAGAAAGACACCTTGTTTCTTCTGAAACTTTAGCTTTGTCTTATATTGCCTTCTTAAGAAACCACAATTCACCTTTTGTTTCTAGGCTGGGTCAGAAAGCTCATTTCTACTTTAGACAATTTGGCATTGTGAGAAATTTTATTTTCGTTTTTGTTAATATGTTTAATTTCTACAGTAAACATATTGACTTTTGTAAGAGAAAAAAGTTGTTTTAAGAGTTGAGAACCCTAGACCTCAAATTTATACATAACCCTTAGGTT